ACAAAAGAGAACACAGTTTGAATATTATTTTGTTATTTTCATGGTTGAATTCGCAGTTTTTAATGTTTTACAACTTATGTGCCTATTCAAGTGAAAAAGATGGAGATATTACCAGAAAAGAAACTGAATCAGGGATTATAATTAAATGTTATACTTAAGGTATGTTAAAAGGCAAAGATTAGAATGAAAGTTAACCCCTGTTAGTTGATATTTTACAAAAAGTAATAACTTAATGTGTTCAAAATTAATAGAGTCTTCTTATTTTATAGAGTTAAATTAATTTATTAGTAAAAGTATGAAATTTATAGTGTCATGGAAGGCTTACAAGAAAATAACCTCTATATATGTCTGTACAAAATAAATTTCTTCAGTCTACCTTTCTATCATGTAGTGTCTATCTGTTTACAGGTTCGTGTATTTTCATTAGTTTTTGGGAAGGTTAGGTGAGTTTAGTTGTACCTAATATGGCAATTTTCTTGTTTTTAGAGTTATATTTTCTCCCCCCTCAGCTCTCCCTACTGATTCCTGACCCTTTTATTTATGGCAGTTTAATAAATTTTTTATTGGGTTTTGGGAAGATTCTGAGTTTTTGATATTGTCAGTCTGGTGTATTGTTGAATTAGATTTGTTCTATTCTATTTCATTCAATTTTATTGATCTGTATTTGACAAACATTTAATTCTAGAAAGATGGTGCTTGGAAATTTTTACTAGATATGGTGCTGTATTCTTCTTTTAATTTCTTGATTTTTGACATGCAGTTGACTGAAGCATGTGCACTGGCCCAGAAAGACCCAACCAATCTGTTACTGATTCTACATCTAGTATGAAGGGTATTACTAAACTCACCGTTGAGACTGAAGATTCTTTTTCTAGTTTGCTTGAACTTGCTGCAAACAACGATCTCGAAGGTTTTAAAAGATCTGTTGAGCTCGATGCTTCTGCTATTGATGAGGTGGGGCTATGGTTGGTTCGCAAGAAAGGTGCAAAGCAGATTGTTAATGAGGAGAGGACTCCTTTAATGGTAGCTGCCACTTATGGAAGTTTAGATGTTTTGAAGTTGATTATCTCTAATCCTGTGGTTGACGTTAACCGTGCTTGTGGTCCAAACAAGTGGACTGCTCTTCACTGTGCAGCCTCTAGTGGTTCTGTCAATGTTATTGATGCAGTTAAGTTGCTACTGTCAGCTGGTGGTGATCCTAATGTTGAGGATGCTAATGGCCAGCGGCCAGCTGATGTGATTGTTGTTCCACCAAAGCTTCCTGGTACTAGAGCTTCTCTTGAAAAACTGCTTCTGAATAATTCATCTGATGGCTCAGTTGGTGACTGCAAATTGACAGTATCTGTGGCTACTTCAGATGCATCCTCTCCCATTCTCTCCTCATCACCAGAAAATGGATCTCCTTGTTCATCATTGGAGTCCTCGTCTTCCCCTATGGCATCGAAGTTCAGTGACCTCCCTGCTAATTCTGCACGAGAGAAAAAAGAGTATCCAATAGATCCGTCTCTCCCTGACATCCAGAATAGTATATATTCAACGGATGAGTTCCGCATGTTCTCTTTTAAGGTTCGGCCATGTTCTAGGGCCTATTCACATGACTGGACAGAGTGCCCATTTGTCCACCCTGGAGAGAACGCTCGTAGAAGAGATCCAAGGAAGTACCACTATAGCTGTGTGCCTTGTCCTGAATTTCGCAAGGGTGCATGCCGACGCGGTGATATGTGCGAATATGCTCATGGGGTGTTTGAGTGCTGGCTACACCCTGCTCAGTATCGTACCCGCCTGTGCAAGGATGGTACAAGCTGTGCTAGACGAATCTGCTTTTTTGCCCATACTACGGAGGAGCTTAGGCCCTTGTATGTCTCTACTGGATCTGCAGTCCCATCTCCTCGGTCAGCTGCTTCTGCAGCTAGTGTGATGGACATGGCTGCAGCGCTGAACCTTTTTCCTGGTTCACCCTCAGCACACTCTGTGATGTCTCCTTCTGCATTTAATCAACCCATGTCCCCCACTGCCAATGGAATGTCTCATCCATCTGCACCATGGCCGCAACCAAATGTCCCAACTCTTCATCTACCTGGAAGCAATCTGCAGTCTAGCCGTCTGAGGTCTTCCCTTAGTGCACGAGACATTCCGCCTGAGGATTTTAACATGTTGCAGGATTTTGATGCCCAGCAACTAGTTCTCAATGACATGGCTTGCTATTCACAGCCACGTCCTAATTCTGCCACTTTGAACCGATCTGGTCGGTCCAAGACACTAACTCCTTCGAATCTTGAAGAGCTTTTTTCTGCTGAGATGAACTCTTCTCCAAGATATTCTGATCAGGCAGCGGCTTGTGGTGTTTTTTCGCCATCACACAAGTCGGCTTACTTTAATCAGTTCCAACACCAACAGAACATGCTTTCACCAATTAATACTAACGTTTTTTCCCCGAAAAACATTGAGCACCCTCTTTTGCAGGCTTCTTTTGGTGTTTCCTCACCTGGAAGGATGTCCCCAAGAAGCATGGAGCCTATTTCCCCTATGAGTGCTCGCCTTTCAGCATTTGCTCATCGTGAGAAGCAACAGCTGCGAAGCCTCAGCTCCCGTGATCTTGGATCCAATAATGCTCCCCTTGTTGGATCCCCTGTAGGCAACTCTTGGTCGAATTGGGGGTCTCCCAATGAGAAGGTTGACTGGTCTGTGAATGGAAGTGGACTCCGACAGCTGCCCAGATCATCTTCTATTGAGCAGCTCAACCCTGGAGAAGAGCCTGACCTATCATGGGTGCAATCTCTTGTGAAGGAATCTCCAACCGAGATAAAAGAGAAGCAGGCCGCTCCTAATTCAGTTGCTGCACCATCCGGTGAGAGTTTGAAAACCAGTTCCCAAATTGATTCCGTTGATAATTCCGTTTTAGGAGCTTGGCTTGAGCAGATGCAACTTGATCAGCTTGTCGCCTAGCGAGATAAGACTCTATTAACTCATTTTCGTGTTTAGCCAAACAAATCAAATTAATAGGAGGGGTAGTATATATTGTTTTTATGGTACATCTTTTTGTTGATGGAGGGGGAAGGAAATTTGAGGGAGAACAAATGTAGGTGGAACTTTCCATAATGTTTCTATTCGATTCTTCTAATTGTTTATTTGTTTACAAGCAACAGTTTTTAAGTTGCCTGGGCTATATTAAAGTAAACCCAGTCCAGGTTTATTGAGATCATCTTTGTATTTTTCCATAATCCTATGGACTTCTTTTTGTTACTCCCAAATGAAACTATATTTTGTAATATTCCTGATGTTTACTATATCATTATTTCAAGTATCCACCCACTGAATAAAGAATGGTTTCTAGGATGTTTGGACTGTGATTGGTATTTGAGGATAAAATAGGTTTTATCTTGGAGATAGTGATGGATGGTGACAAAGTTAAGAAAATTTGAATATATAGGTTAAAATAGTAAATGATGGGAGAGGCCCACTGATTTTGTCATCAAATGACATTGCAGATGAAATAGTGGGTGAAGTTAGGGCAGATTTCTTTAATTTGTGTTTGTCGGTCCCCTATTTTTGATAGTGAAATGTGGGGACAAAAATAATTTAAAAAGAAGCACAATGACATTATTATATAGTATAGTAGTAGTCCTAAATAAAGAGGACAAAAACAGGTGAAATGGGTTCGCCACGTCTTAAAATCTTTTTTTATCTTGTTCTGTAGAAATAAGTAACTCTCTTAAAGCATAATTTTATTTAAATATTTAAAAATATAATAAATTTGATTTGACTGTTCGAAATTTTATCGATGTCACAAAAAATAACTGTATAGTTTGAAAATGAAGTGAGAAAATATTGTAAAATCACTTACAAATTTCTTGTTGACATTTTGGACATTCATACTTACAAATTTCACACCCATTAAGCTTAAAATTGGTTTCACGAGAAATATCGTTTGGAGAAGGTACATCCCATTAGAATTGCAGTTGAAGCTGATGGAATATGCGCTTCACACGTTTTACTTTGATTATGTAAAGACTCACATTTTGTCGTCTTACATTCCCTAAACGTAGCATTATTTTGTTTAGTTATGATGAAAAATTGACTCTCACTATACAATGTAGAATTCTCACATATATATGAAGAATCAAGGATTGTATTGATGATTGAGTTACATATTTCTTATTTAGGAGAAAAGTCCTATACTAGCTACACTAGGAATCCTAATACAACACAAATATAATATATACATCTTATCCTAGTCGTATAAAATATAGACTTATACATAAATTAGGACTGAGTAGTATAGTCCTTCACCGAACTGTTCTTTCGACCTGTTCCATCAGCTTCCTTCAACACTTCCCCTCAAGCTAGTGAGTGGACGAACTGTAACTCCTAGCTTGCGACGAAACTCAGCAAAAACCTGTTTGGTTGATGCTTTTGTATGAATATCTGCTAGCTGACCCTTAGACCTCACAAATTGAGTAGCAAGTTGTCCTCTAGCCACCTTCCCACGAACAAAATGATAGTCCATTTCAACATGTTTAGTTCTAGCATGCATAACTGGATTAACTGTCATGTACAAAACACTCATGTTGTCACAATACAATGTAGGTATAGATCGAAGAAACACCTCAAGCTCATGAAGTAGATACTGATCCATGTCATCTCTGATGCAGTGGAGGCAAGTGCTCTATACTCAGCTTTAGCACTTGAACGAGCAACTGTGGACTGTTTCTTGGAGGTCCAAGAAATACAGTTTGCTCCTAGGTAGATGCTATAGCCCATAGTGGATCTCCTATTGGAGGTACAACCTCCCCAATCAGCATCGTAGTACCTATACAACCTACAAAGTGATTGTGAAATAAGTCTAAGTCCAAAGTGCAGACTGCCTTTGATATACCTGAGAATTCTTTTCACCCCTTGGAGATGAGCACTGTTCGGATTTTGCATAAATTAGCTTTCTAAATTCACAGCATGAGTAATATCTGGTCTTGTGAAAGTCAAGTATTGAAGTCCCCCTACTATCATTCTGTAAAAAAAAATGCTTCAAGCACACTTCCCACAGCTTCATGTAGACCATGCTTCTGAGCCAAAGGAGTGGCTATAGCCTTTGCAAAAGTCATTTCAGTCTTGTCTAGCAGCTCAACAACATACTTAACCTCAACTCCAAGAAAGAAGTGTAAATGACCAAGATCTTTCATGGCAAACTCCTTTTCAAGTTGTAGAACCAACTCTGAGACATGTGATGGATTACTTCCTGTGACAATAATATCATCCACATATAACATGAGAAATATTTTGCCATTGTGAGTTTTCAAAGTAAATAAAGAAGGATCAACCTTACTACAAGTGAAACCAAGGTGTAAGAGATGCATTTTAAACCTATCATACCAGGCTCTTGGTGCTTGTTTAAGATCTACAATGCCTTTTTAAGCAGACATATATGCTGAGGATACTGGGGATCAATAAAACCAGGAGGTTGACTCATATACACCTTCTCTTGTAAGAAGCCATGGAGAAAGACATTTTTGACATCGAGTTGTCTAACTTTCCACTTTAAACTGACAACAATGGATAGAACCACCCTAATAGTTGTTGCTTTAACCACAAGACTGAATGTTTCTTCAAAATCTATCCCTTAAAGCTGCGAGGATCCCCTTTCCACAAGTCTGATCTTGTATTTATCTATTGTTCCATCAACTTTTAATTTTGTCTTGAACATCCATTTTGATGCAATCATACTAGGGGATTTGGGCACCAAAATCTATGTCTTGTTAATATGTAAAGCATCAATCTCTTCCTGCATTGCTGCAAGCCAATGAGGTGATTTTAGTGCTTCTTTAGTAGTATTTGGTTCTCTGACAATTTCTCTGCTGCTGCGAACAACAAGTGACAAGTGTTGTTCATTCGCTTTGTTCTTGGTGATCATATGATGCCATTGTGGTTTAGGATGTACTTCAACTGGTACATCACCCAAGGTAGTGGACTGGAGTATAGCATTGTCAAGTTTATGGTCAACTGGTACATCAACTAAAGTGGTTGCTTGATGACGATCATTGGATGGACCTGTAAAAGCAACCTGTTTCTCACTACTGCTGATAGATTCAAAATATGCAGGTGAACTTTCAATACTGTTATACGGATCATCAGCTTCCTTCAACATATAAAGGTTAAACTCGTAAAATATACGTGGTACTAATGCGACCTCTTTGGTTTCCATCTTGCCATTGTCAGTATCATCGGTTAGTACTAGCTGTACTTTTGTATTATTCTTCTATTCTTTACCCTTTTCTAAATCAGCTATAGCTTTTTTTTCTCACTATGTAGGCATTTTGGCCGTGTGATACCATATCATAATATGATATAGTGAGATGGAATCAGCATTTGGACATGTCATTTGACGCTGATTCCATATCATAATTCCATATCATGAGATGTGATACCATATTCTCCAAAAACCATGATCTAGAATCATATGAGAATATCATATCATGATTTGAGTTATTTTAATACAAAAATTGATCCACAAGTTTATATTTTGTTAAAGCAACCCCACATTTATATATATTAACCATTTATTTCATATGTAAATAAAATTTATGATCACATCATTACTTTTTAAAATTTATTATTTACACCGACATAAAATTTATTATTCTCACTAACATATAGTCACTTTAACTCACACTCACGATTGTTGAGTAATAAAATCTTGAAGAGCCCGTGAAAGGTGTTCCATTTTTACTCAAATATATCGATGGAGCAATTACTTAAGTGGAGAACAAATAATTTTGTGATAATTTATTGTACGATTTTATGATTTTTTGTTTATTTGATAATATTGAATAAATAATTGGGGTTATTTTACTAGTTTTAGAACTTATGTGATTTTTATGTTTATGAGAAAATATACAACACGAAAATTTCATATCGCATGTCCAAACGTTAATTTCATATCATGATACTATATCATAATACCATATTACGTGGCCAAACGAACCCTAATTCTTCTACCAGTCTCTTCCTCAGCAACAAATGAAGTAGTAATGTTGCCTAAAGGGAAAATTGTGACTTTGGAGGCTTGATTGAATTTTGGCAATTGAAACTCCTACTGCTGCAATTTCATCTTTCCCTGCAGTCATGAAGAGCCAACATTTGGGATTTTCTTTTTGTAAGGGCAAAATAGTCAAGTCATTCACTAAACAAATGAGAATATTATTATTAATTATTACACTTAAATTTGAACTTCTAACCAAAAAAATAAAAAAAATAAACTGTCATGCCTTTTAAGTAACTAGTTTTGATATACGTGCCTTGCATGAGAATATATAATTATTTAGTGTATTATTGTTCTAAAATTAATGTTAATGTCAGTAATATCAAAATTTCAGCAAACAACTATAGATAGAATAATGAAATATGTATAAGTTTCTATGATTAGCGAATGTGAACTCTATTATAATTACTATTGAAATTGTCAAATCAATATTTGAAAATACTTATAACTATTTATAATGTTATAAAAGTTATAATTAAGGTAATGTGACAATTCTTTAGGACTTCCAATAAGATTTGTCTTCTTTTTTTTCCCCCAAGTTTTTCCCATTTTACAATTAATTGAGATATTGAAAATAAAAGTTTCACTCTTAATATTTCTTTGTTACACTTTTTCAATATAGTTTCTCCTTACTCCCCTATAGTGTATTACTTGGTTATTATTGTATCGTTAGAATTACTACATTTATTATAATATAAATAGATAAAATATTGATATAAAATATAGAAGATATACTATATTGAATGTTTTTAGCTGGTGTATTATATTAAATTAACATTTAAGTTATAGAGTGCTAAAATTTCATTAAACTTTGAGATTCTCAACATCTGTAAATCACACTTAATTTTTTATAAGAGAAGAATAGAAAACTTAAAAAAAACTCTTAGTTTAGAACTGTGAGGAAAGCCTCCATTTATAGTTAACAAATGCTAGTATGAACATGTACTTGTTGTGTTTAATAATAAAAGTTACAATTTTTCGAAAATGTCGATTCTTTTTAGAGAAGTCGTAACCATTCGATGCGAATATTTGTGCGCTTTTAAAATAAAATATTATAAATAAATATAATATAATATAAAATATAGAAGATATAAAGAATTATGTGTTTTAAGAGGAAGAAGAACAATTGAAAATTAAAAAAATTTGTATTTTAAAAGTGTTAGGAGATCCCTCTTTTTATAGCCAACAAAGGCTTGTACGAAAAAAAGTTCACCAGAAAAATCACAACCCTTTAAAAAAGTCATAAACCTTTGAATAAGTCAATGACTAAACGGAAAATCACAAACTCTTTGAAAAATAAAAGTGACAGCCCTTCGTATTAAGATTTGGTGTTTTAATTTGAAAATATTATAATACTTTAACATTAAAGTTAGAAAATTCATGTTTTTAAGATACTATATACATAGATATCTAGATAGGTAGATATAGAAGATATAAGTTAGATATATATATAAATGATATCTGTCCTATATTCATGCCTAGATTATCACGTCTCTTGTCAAGTAAAACTTTTGAATACAAAAGTCCCATGTTCAAATTGAGGTGAATTTTGATTAAGATGGCGTTATGCATAAGTGAAATTTACTCGATTGATTGACTATTTGAACTTTATTTCAATATATATACCTAAATGGTCGATAAATGTCAATCAATTAGAGAAGCAATAGAATTAGTAGCTAATGCAAGTTAGATTCTAACTTCAGCCATGACTCCTTGATTTTTATAACTTATTTCACGACTAAAAATACTAGATTCTGCGTCGAACAAAATTTTGTAACTAAACAACACAATTCGTTGCTTATTCTAGTTATCAACGAATTAGCAACATATTTTCATTAGCTACGAGTTAAATAACGACGGACCAATAATGGATAGCTAAATGCAATGTTTTTTTTTGTTAGTGTGTTGAAACAAAAAAAAAAACTACCTCTCTCAAAATAAGAGCATTCAAGCGAATAAAGTTAAAGAACTTGTGTTAATTTATATTTTATCGATGTTAATATTGTTTTATGTAATTCTCTAATAAACTTAAGCAACTTGTGTTAATTTATATTGTATCTAACTATGTTAATATTGTTTTATGTAATTCTCCAATAAACCTAAACTTGTGTATATTTATATTGTATCTAACTTAGTTAACATTGTTTTATGTAATTCTCTAATAAAGTTAAACAACTTGTGTTTATTAATTTAAAGGGGATCATTTAAGAGTCTTTATATTTGATTTCGTAATATAAGTTTCTCCTTTAATTCAAGATATTCAGTTTATTTTTTTTTCTTTATAGTGAATTCTTAAAAATTGATAAGCCTACCTTGTTAATTTTTTTAATTAAACTAAATGGTATGCACGTCAGGCCTTGAAACTAAAATTCAACGTGCAATTTTATTTAATTTAGTATATTTTGAGTAACATGAGCAAATAAATAAGGTGGCAGGTGCAAATTCCAAATTTATTTTGTGTATTAAACTGTCATCTTAATTCATTGAAATAATAGTACACTGATAGTCGGCCTCACTATCTCATAACAAACTTAGCTTATTTTGCAGTCTAACCGTCTCAAATTCTTAATAAAAACAAATGAGACTTAGCTTAATATTGACCATATATATCAGATATGATTCTAAACATATAATACGATTCTAAAAGATTCAGGATAATATTCTATTTTAACAGAGAACAATTACATCATAAATATTATGTAAAATATAATATGATACTGTGATAGAATCATGCTTATATTTTTGTATCTTTATATATAAATAGTGGATAGTTTATTAATTGTAAAGTTTAGAATATGAAATATTTTTCAACTCTTTTTGATTTTTCTTATTCTCTCGTTCCTCTAGATTTTGTATCTTTATATATAAATAGTGGATAGTTTATTAATAGTAAAGTATAGAATATGGAATATTTTTCAACTCTTTTTGTTTTTTCTTATTCTCTCATTCTCTATTGGGTGGGTGGATATATTATAGAATTTGAAGTTAAAAGGGCAAAAAAAATTGTTAAAAATTTTAAAAAGTTACATCAATTTTTTTTTAATTAAAAGGACAAAATCGCTTTTGATAGAGTGATTTTCTTTTGACAAAATTGACGTGTTAAATTTTTAATTTTTTTTTCTTTAAAATCGCTGCCATGTCAAAAGTGACTATCCGCGTATTATCAAATACAATAATTCACTTCTTTACTAGATTTTTTTCAAAATTGTTCTGCCCCAGCTAAAGCTTGTTAATCACAAATGGTAGTTGTAGTATTTCTCTAAATCCACATTATATTTCTAGCTGTGAGTCGTCTTATGCTAATTGTTCATATTAGTA